CCTCAGGATGAAGTCTCCTCGAGAGTAAGGCTTGGGGCTAATTGGCCACTCCCTTAGCCTATTGAAGGAAGAACGCCGACTGAAGCAATTTGCAGGGAACAACTTGGTTCACATATCTTCGTGTCTTGTCTTGCTTATCTTATCAGCTTCCTGCAAATTGCTTCTGGGCATTCTGCCAACCACAGTAAGCTTTCAGTTATTATTCTTTTTTAAAAAAAAAAAAAACTTTATTAGATTTAAAAAAAATAAAATTGTATAAAACATTCACAACCTTAAAATACAAAAGTCTATGATTTCGTAGTGTCTTGTGTTGATTCAGGAAAATGACTAGAATTTATTTCAAGAAATTTCCAAAGTGACTTTCTATTATTTAAATGTTGCTTTTTTACGTTGCTTTTAATGTTATTCTTTTACTTTTTCTGGTGTACAAGGAAATTATTGCATCAGAATTAAACCAAGAATAATTCTCTACTCAATAATTATGAACTTTGAATTGATCTGCAGCTTCTTTAGGTCTGTGGAGAATTCTCAGCGCTGTTAATGTTTTTACAGTTCAAAGTAAGAAAAAAAAGAGAAGCTTAAATATCCCCATAACACTTCAGAATTGGGATGATACAGAGAGAAACTGTATTAAGAGGCTAGTTAGAGATATTTTGCTCCTTGACTTAGGATATGTAACTTGAGGCTATACATTAATGGGCCCTATGGAGAAATGTTCTTTTAAACAGATATCTTTATTCATGATGATAATATTCAGATTATTGGTTCTAGGGCCTTTTCCTATGTCTGTCAGCAGGCTTCCAGCGCAAAAATGCCCCGGATCCCAGCCCGTTAATATCTTTCATAAATATTTTCAGTCAGGAGACAGGATCATTGGTGGCATCTCCTCACAGTCATTCATTTATATTGAGACAACGGAATTCAGAAGACACCCATTCCAGGACATAATTTTGAACCCTGTGTAAGTAGCTATATTTATTATTATTATTAGAATAGAATAGAATTCTTTATTGGCCAAGTGTGATTGGACACACGAGGAATTTGTCTTAGGTGTTTATGCTCTCACTGTACATAAGGAGAATAAAATACATTCATCGAGAATAAAAAGATACAACACTTAGTGATAGTCAAGATTACTAATAAGCTATAAAATCGTACTAGGAAACAAATAAAAACAATATAATTGAAAGATACAAGCATATAAATGGGAAGAGATAGATACTAGTGAGGAAGAGAATAATAATAATAATAATACAGTCTTAGTAAATTATTTGACAGTGTTGTGGGAATTAGTTGTTAAGCAGAGTGATGGCATGGGAAAAAACTGTCCTTCTGTCTAGTTGTTTTGGTGTGCAGTGCCCTATTGCGTCTTTTTGAGGGTAGAAGTTGAAACAATTTATGGCCAGGATGTGAGAGGTCTGTAAATATTTTCACAGCCCTCTTTTTGACTTGTGCAGTATACAGGTCCTCAAGGGAAGAATGGAAGAATGTAATTTTAAAATTACATACAAGTTTTCTTCCTTTTCCTTTTAAGAAGGATGTTCCACATTTATTAAATACAAATGGTATTAGCAGTTCCTCTTGAACAAATACTTTTGACATGAGTGGAGTCCGCTACTCCTTGTAGTACAAGATAAATAAACAACATACAAAGTGAAAAAAGTTAATGATCAATAATACATTTTAAATATATGTAGTTTGAATAAGGGGAAGGGAAGGAGAGAGAAATATTTTTTTTAAATCAAAACAAAAGTCAGCCTAATATGTCATTTGGAAGAACTTGTTCAGTTCTGTGCAGAGAAGAGCAAAGATGATAAAGGATCTGGAGCATAAATTATATGATGAAGGGTTGAAGGAGCTAGCTATGTCTAACTTATTGAAGATACTGTAAGGATGAGTAGGGACATGATAATTGGCTTCCATAACTTGAGGAGGTCACCAAAAAAAGGGGATTGACTGATTCATCAAAATACCAAAATACAGAGCAAGAAACAATGGGTGGAACCTTGTTAAAGAAAAGATCCATTTTAGAAGTTAGAAGGATTTTTCTAACAGTGAGAATAATTAATCAATGGAACAGAACTGTGGGAGCTTCATTACTGGGGGTTTTCAAAAACAGACTGGATAACCATTTGACCAAGACCTCCTGCCTTGAGACAGAGGTTGGACTAGAAGACCATAAAGGTCATTCCCTGCCCTTTGATTCTATGCTCTACGTACATTCTCTAATAGCCAAAACACCTTTTACCCCAGAAATAATTTAGGGATTACTTTAATAATAAAGAACATAGTAAGAACTATCACTCATCATTAGTCTATTATACACTTCTCCTTCTCAAACAACTGCACAGAAAATACTGCAATAGTATTTCTCTTTTTCATTCCAGGTTACTGACTCAGAGCTACCAGCAAGTCTTAGCTTTGGTTTTTGCTGTAAAGGAAATTAATGAAAATCCCCAGTTCTTACCCAACATCAGCCTAGGCTTCAGTATCTACAATG